TTTTTTTTTTTTTTTTATTTTGCAATTAATTTTTTTTTTTTTTATTTTGCAATTAAAGGAAAAGCCCGTTGCACTTCCTGCCTGCCTGGGGAGGAGCTGGGGCACTTCCCATCCCCGAGCAAGGGCCGCTTCTGCCCGGGCTTCCCCGGCACGCGGCCCTGGTGCCCCACGCCGCCCCACGGCTCCGGACTCCCCTTCATCCCAGCTCCGGGACTGCGGCCGGGCAGGTGCTTCCTGCCCGTTTTCTCTTCCCCTTCTTGGTGCAACAGTCCCGGGGCCGTGGGTGCACAGTAGGGTTGCAAGGGGGGTCCTTCTGCGGGCTGCATCCGTGCATCGCCTCCCAGGCTGCATCCCTGCATCCCTTCATGCACTTCATCCATGCATCGCCTCCCAGGCTGCATCCCTGCATCCCTTCTTGCACTTTATCCATGCATCGCCTCCCAGGCTGCATCCCTGCATCCCTTCATGCACTTTATCCATGCATCGCCTCTCAGGCTGCATCCGGGCATCCCTTCCTGCACTTTATCCATGCATCACCTCCCAGGCTGCATCCCTGCATCCCTTCTTGCACTTCATCCATGCATCGCCTCCCAGGCTGCATCCGGGCATCCCTTCCTGCACTTTATCCATGCATCGCCTCTCAGGCTGCATCCGGGCATCCCTTCCTGCACTTTATCCATGCATCACCTCCCAGGCTGCATCCGGGCATCCCTTCTTGCACTTCATCCATGCATCGCCTCCCAAGCTGCATCCCTGCATCCCTTCCTGCACTTCATCCATGCATCGGCCGCCAGGCCGCGTTGGCTGCCCTGGCACGTGCCAGGTGGCAGCGCCCGCGCAGAGCCGCCTCCGTTATCTCCTCACAATACCCAGGGTGTGATACGGGAGGCTGCGCACGGGAAACCYGGAGGAGCGGCAGGGCCCGGGCACATTCCCACATCCCGCGGAGCTGCTGCGTGTCCCCAGAGGCTCGGCACGCTGATGTCCCCGGAGCAGAGCTCCCTGTATCTACRTATCCCTGCTCCCGGCTGGGCCCGGCAGCCGCTCGTTGGCCCCATTTGGAGACACCTGGAGCTTGGGGACCCCCCGACGCCGGCCTCGGKGTCAAGGCTGGGTCTGGGGCTGCACCAAGGCCAGTGGCAGCTCAGAGGTCCCTGGGCTGAGTGCCTGGGCTTTGCTCAGCACCCGACCGAGCTCCGCAGCGCTCCGGAATGCCCACCCAGGAACCCCCATTCCCAGCACCCCGTAGCTCCCAGAGACCAGCACGACAATCGGTTTTATAGAAATATATAAAATACAATCAGAAAATAACAGTCTCATTCCCGACGAGGTGTTTTCCCTGCCCCAAAATATAATAAATTAGCAAATAAATAAGAGGAATGCATAAATAAGTGTCTAGCGGAGAGGTGCCAGGCTGGCTGAGGCCACCGGCCCCACGTGGGAACACCAGACCCCACACGGGTGATAAAATAAAAATAACGGAGGGGAAAGATAGAATAAAAATAACAGGGCAAAGAAGTCCCTGCTTGCTGTGGAGAGGTTCCTGCATCCGTGGAAGGGATTCTGCATCTCGTGGAAGGGATTCTGCATCCCACGGAAGGATTTCTTCATCCCGTGGAAGGGTTTCTGCCTCCCACAGAAGGGCTTTTTGCAACCCACGGAGGTTTTTCCGCATGCCAGGGCGTCTTCCCCGCATCCCACAGCGGAATTTTCTGCATCCCAGCATCCGGCCGCGTTGCTGCGCTCCCGGCGCGGAGACGCCCGTCAGGCGCAGTGGCACTTGGTGACCAGCATGTCCTCGAAGACGCTGGAGACGAGGCGGCCCTGGGCGTCGTAGTGCATGAGCACCATGGGCGCGTAGGCGGCGGGCACGCAGCAGGGCGCCGGGGCGCCGCGCGCCAGCGCGTGCACCCGCGCCTGCACCTGCGCGTGCATGCTGGCCGCCCGGTAGTTGTGCGGGCACGAGCCCTGGCAGAAGCGCATGTCGTAGCTCCGCGGCGCCACCACCCAGTCGGCCCAGCCGATGTCCTGGAAGGAGACCTTGAGCGAGCGCAGGCAGCACTTGCCTTCGCTCTTGCCGCACTCCTCCTCCTCCTCTTGCAGCCCCCGCGCTCGGCGCCGGCGCTCCCGGGGGATTCGGGGGGTCCAGGCGCCGTGGGGGGGGTCCGGGTGTTGCTGTGCTGTGGGGATAATGGGGGCGAGAGGTGACGCGGGGTGACGCGGGGTGACACCGAGCCCCCCCGCCGCCACCCCGCATCCCGCCCCGCTGCGCCGCTTCCCGCTGCCCTTCCCCGGTGCCGCTGCGCGAATCCCAGCAGCTCCCAGCGAAAACTCCTCCCTCCCGGGCTGCTCATGCCCGGTCATGTCCGCACCGCGCGGCGGCGGCCCCGGCCGTGCCCGGTGCTCACCTGCGGCGGGCGGCCAGGACGCGGCCTCCCCGGCGCGGCCCCGGTGCTCCAGGCCGTGGCCGTAGCGCC